CTGTAGATTTCAAAAAAGTAAAGTTGGGTGGAGTCACTTTTTCGTTTGGCCAACTTTGCTTTTTTGACATCCACTCACAGCCCAATCAATTAAAATTTAATTGAAAATTTATTTAGTTGACTTTATTATCAAATAATTAACCCAACAAGCAATCAATTCTAACCTTTTTTTCGTCGTTAAAACTCAGCCACAACGCAAGTTTCCATAGATAGATCTAATCTTCACTTTTTTTCGAGGTTTAAGAAATTGGTAGTGATGTAGGATGTAGCTATAGGGGGTCCACCGGATCCAGCAAAATTTTGAAAGTGGTCTATGAAACAAAAGAGTTTGGGAACCTCTGTCCCAGATAGCACAGGACGTCCTAAGGACGTCCATTACATGTCCATTTAACGTCTGTACGTCCAGGACCAATTATGGACGTTTTAAGTATGTCCAGTTTAGTAAATTCTCGGGACGTCAAGAAATAGATATCCGCAGAACGTTAATTTTACGTGATTTACTATATTTCCATGGATTCACATTCGTATTGCATTATTATTTGGTTATATTACATAAAACACATATATAATGTGATAATGTAAATAATTAATAAAGATAACTTTGTCCCAATATCCAATTGAAAAAAGGCCAAATAGACAAAAACGAAGGTCATTTACAAGAAAGAGACATTGTTGACAAGTGTCATTTTATTTTTTATTTATTAAAGATTCAAGCACTGAAATAATCAAGACTCAGGTTTTATTAAAAAAAAGAAAAAACATATGTTCAATGTTCATGATTCGATGTATTAAACGAGTACAAGTTCTATCATCCCGCCATTTGACTGTGATTCGACTGTGAGTTTGTGGTTGATGGATATTAACTTTTTGCAGTTTGTACCATTTTTATTTCTGAGAAAGGTGGAAATTTTCCAATGAATACTACAAAGCTAAAAGGTTAGTGAATTTATAATGTCTAGCAAGGCAAACTTAAACAAACAGATTGGATTTTAATATTGATCTGCCTTTTATTTTGAATAAGTGATTAAATTATTTTCAGATTCAACTGAGAAGGCAAATATGGCCAAATCAAGAAAAAACTGACTGCCGTCAATCCAGGCATGGTTGAAAAGAGTAAAGTAGAGGAGTTTTTCAGTGAATACTACAAAGCTAAAAGGTTAGTGAATTCATAATGTCTAGCAGGGCAAACTTTAACAAACAAATTGAATTTTCATACTGATCTGCCTTTCATTTTGAATAAGGGATTAAATTATTTTCAGGTTTAACTGAGAAGCCAAATATGACCAAATCAAGAAAAAACAGTTGCTGTCAATCCAGGCATGGTTGAAAAGAGTAAAGTAGAGGAGAGTTGGAATGAATTTGAGGATAAGTTTCAATAATTTTATTATTTATAGGTTATTTGCTTCCAAATAAATTTTTTTGAAATTATTCATTATTTTCAATAATTTCCTTACATCCTATTATTCCCCATTCAAGCTTTTGAAAATGTCCATGGAATGTCCTTAAATGGACGTTCTTAAGACATCCTGATTATTAACAATGGACGTTCCAAAGACGTTCATAAGATGTCCACATCCGTGAAATGGACGTTTTAAGAATGTCCTGAATGTCCAAGCAGGACGTTTTTAAAACGTCCATAAGACGTATTTGTGCTATCTGGGGTTCTAAATTGATGACAAATATAAGAAACAATATTGAATAACATGTAATTTAAAAAACTGAATTAAGCAAGGAGAGAAAACATATTGATTCAAGTTTACTATTATAATCACATTATCCATTCTATCAAATGCATTCGAAAAAAATAATATTATGTCTCAACAACTTGTTTACCCTAGTGCAGGACTTCCGTTAAATGTTGAGTAATTATAAGATGTGTCTTTAGTTTTGTCAAATTTTAGTTAGTCAAATTTTAAAAGACGATTTAGAGGTTATTGAGGACCGATTCCACCACAAAGCATGTATCTTCTAGAGACCCCACGCCAATGTTAAACTTTTAAACCAAATTAGCGCCACCTTGTGTTTGGAGCTGGAACTAAAATGACAATTGACAGATGGCGGTAAATTCAAATTGTAATTTTTAGGAGTAGGTAGTAGTTTTAAATTAAATTTTAAATGATTTCCACATAAATTATTTTATAAAATAAAGTATGGAACTAGTAAGTTCGAAACTTTTATTTTACAAAATAATTTAGGTCGATTATACCAAATTTGAAGAATTAATTTGTTATAAGGGGTCTAATGTGGAGAGTTGGTTCTGTATATTTTTATTAAATAAATATAAGATATATCAATAAATAATAAAATAGAACATTCTTAAAATATGTTAATTAATAACTTAAATAAATATTATTAGATAAAAATAAATACAAATAATAATACATATTTAACGAATACTTACTTGGAGCAAATAGATATATAATCTGAAATCTTTAAAATACCTATCAATAATTTAAATGTGAAGTAGAGACTAGGATATTACATTTTATTAACACTAAAGTTATATATTTTATAAATGTCTTTTTAACTGAGGACAAATGTAATATAGGTATTGTATTAAAAGGTGAATCCTTTTAACTATTCATTCAATGATAAATAGGTATTTTCCTTCCAAATACAGATGGTGGTATTACTCTCTTATGTGAAAAATGATTTCGGAATCTAGTCCAGTGATAAATTGATTATCAATTAGTTGTTGTCCCCGTTTGTCTTTTTATGATGCAGATGCATGGTGAATATATGGTGAATCAATGAAATTTTTCTCGAAGTTTTCAACGTAGCGCACCAAAATTATTGCAAAACACAGTAGGAAATAAAAAAGCGAAACATCACAATTTTGCAAATAATTAAGACGAAACTATAAACAGAAACCAAAAGCCAAAGCAACAAAAAATCACTAAAATCAGACGGAAAAATGAAACTAACCAAGAACATAAATAAATACACGTCACATCTTTAGAGTCTTTGGTTAAGTTTTTCTCCCATAAGGCTTAAAAATGGAGTAAGAAATCATAATTTCACCAGTAGCCCCATCTAGAGTTTGGAGCAAATAGCATAAAAAATGTCAGTTGTCGGTTTTGACCTTGGTCATTCACGTGGAACCTCTATGTGCTTTGTGGATTCCACCGTTGTGTTAAACGAAGTTTAAAGTGACATTTTTACATTAACAATGTCATTTTAATCCCCGTTTAACACAACGGTGGAATCGGCCCTAAGATAAATATTTAAAAAATAATTTAATCATTCCTTTTTACTTTCCTATATGTATGCAGATAAGGAAAGTATAGGAATCATGATTTTTTTCGACCTCGAGTTTTCGACGGTTTTTTTTACGTTTTGGGGTCTACTGAATCCCTTTTGACTATTTTCGCGATGATGTGTGTGTCTGTATCCTCGATAACTCATAAACAGATACAAATTACATATTAGTCCCATTGAGTATCGGTTACATTATTCAAAGCTTCTGAAATATATTTTCCGGTGACGATTTTGTTGTTAAAAATTGTTCGTCATGAAACCATTTGCACTGTGACCACATCATCTCTATCGCATTGTACTGGCAGTGATATGGAGGAGTTCTTAATATTTTATGCCCATATTCTTCAACACATCTATCTAGGTGGAATTCGTTTCGTGGTAGATTTTGACGTACAACTTTCCAAATCTAATATTTCATACCATTGATTGGATAATTAATGTTCTTTTCCTGAAACCATTTTATCTTTTGTCTAACCATAACATGGAATTGGTTCCACGTACCGCAAATGAAAACTGGCATTATCGATTATAATCAAAGGATTTTCCAGACTAGGTAAAAATTAGGTCGTAAACCATTTTTCAAAAATTTCTGTTTATATTATTGTCATAATCCCCGCCTTTTGTTTGGCTTTTAAATATGAGGTCTGCATTTTTTGTAAACCCTTCTTCATTGCCACCATGGATGATAAATAATAAGGCTGTGCCCATAGAATCGCATCTCAAGCCTATTAACGAATGCTTGTTACTCTAGTTCAATGGTAGAACCAGGTTTAAAATTATATTTTTACATTAAAATTGTATTTTATTGTAAAAATATCCTTTTAAACTTCGCTTAGTATTTTTACGCAAAGTGCTCCCTATTTTTCGATTTTCTTTCAGCAATCTCTTTTAGAATACTGACAAACGCGACGAGTATAACAGAGACAGCAGGGGTTCCCTCAGCAACTCCCTGTTTAAATGATGATAATATTTCACCATTCATGTTATATAGCTAAATAAAATGTCGACAATACTCTATATTGGAATGCCTTCTGTTTTAGTATAGAATTTATAGTTCAAACGTACCATTGATCAAATAGAGGCGCTAACGAATCTCCTGTCTGGTCATATACCTGGCCATGGTCTTTATTCAGCAGTTAGTATAAATCAATAAGTCACTAATTGCTAATAATATATTTGATGGCTAAGTGACTTCGGCACGACTGTCGGCCGTAGTGACCTATATATGCCGGCCTTTTAATTATAAAAGTTAAATTGTTTACAATTGAAGGGTAAAAATTATTGGGTTTTTTATTCCCCTACACAAAATGTTTGTTTAATACATTACATACATATTTAATTTTTATAATAGCTTAGGTATAAAGAGGATAAATAAAAAAAATTACTAAAGTAGGCCTTGGAAAAATTTACGTATGTCGAACGTACAATTATCCACATTTTTACATGTCAATTTGGAATTAATCTAGAGCCGCGCGTAGTTATCACAAATATACCTTTGTCGGTCATGGCTTACTTTAGAAACATTTTTTATGGATCACTTTTTATAAATTACCGATACTTAATAAACGATTAAAAATATTGATTTATTAAATATTACAATAAGGGGCACCAGTATAAGGTTATGCTTTTGAGTCCGTCCCTGTCTCTTTCAAACTTCACAGTTGACAGTAGTTGAATATTCCTAGCAGATAGAGACCACAAGTACACATGAACTACTTCTATTGTACGCCATTGTCAATTGTCATTAGTGTTTTCTTTGCTGTCGAACGTAAACAACATGCCGTAAACAATTTTAAAAAATTAATTTAAGCTTTTAATTTAAATAGTTTACCTGTTCTGTTGCCTATTTACAACATAGATAAACAATATAAATATGAAGATTGCAATTGAAGGATGTGCTCATGGAGATTTAGAAAATATATATGATACTCTTCATATCCTGGAACAAAAAAATGGATTTAAAGTTGACCTATTAATTTGTTGTGGCGATTTTCAATCTTCGAGGAATGAAGACGATTTAATGTGCATGGCAGTTCCACCAAAGTTTAAAGATATATGTTCTTTCTACAAGTAAGCAATTTATTTATGCAGAAGTTAGTTTTATGTTGAAGTAATTTAAATTTTTTAATATAGATATTATTCCGGAGAAAAGGTTGCTCCAGTTTTAACGATATTCATAGGAGGTAACCATGAAGCTTCAAACTACCTTCAAGAATTACCTTACGGTGGCTGGGTAGCTCCTAATATTTATTATATGGGCTATGCTGGGGTTATTAATGTTGCTGGTTTAAGAATAGCAGGTCTTTCTGGTATTTACAAAGGGCACGACTTTTTGAAAGGACATTATGAAAAAGCTCCATATTCAGAAAATTCAAAAAGAACTGTTTATCATGTTAGAAATTTGGAAGTTTTTAGAATGAAACAACTATCTGGTAAAATTGATATATTCTTATCACATGATTGGCCGACTGAAGTAGTGAAATTTGGAAATATTCAGCAGTTATTGAAGAGGAAACCGTTTTTTAAGTAAGGTTTTAGTTCTATGAATAGCTTGTTGCTGTTTCCCTGCCAGTAAAATAAAATAGCATAATTATTCTCCAATGAGCACAATTTCTAACAATAAGTAATTGGAAATATGCACAATTTGTTGAATTTTTTAAAAACACTAAAGCCTGTAATTATAAACAGATCTCAACTAAGTCCGACTCAGCTGAGTGTTCCTTGAAATTCTGATTACAGGTGAAATACTAAAACAATTGCCAAAAAAGCTGTGGTTAAACCAATGAGGTTGAATACTATGGAGATGACATGCCAAAAAAAAAACGACACCCCTTCCCCTCTCTTAGAGGTCATGTCATAGTTGTCAAAGATATTTCGATGTTATTTCTATCTTAATAAGTGTTTTTTTTTATTAATTTGTATAAAAATCATGACTAAGTGTGCCAAAATTAATTGTAAAAACTCTTCAGTGAAAGAGTAAGAAAATATCTAATATAAGTTTTCATAAGTAAGTATAAGGAGTGTACTTAGAATTTTTTTAAGAATGCTTAACTTTTTTTTATTATAGGTTTCCACTTGTGAACAATGTCTAGATGCTTTAATAAGTAAAACTAGAGATTTGTTTCTATTTTCATTCATTGATATAAAGAATAAAAATGGTTTGCAATATCCATCGGAAGATGTAATAAACATTTGTTTAAAATGTAAAAAAATATTAAAAATTATGAAAGACTCTAAGAAAATAATATCAGTTGATATCATCAGCACATTAGTTTTAAAAGAATTCATAAATTCTAATGTCTTTTCGAATATTATGCAGCACAGTTTGGACCAGTTTGTGTTGGATAATCATAGAATATTATTAATCAAGTGCATAGTTGATAAATATGTTAGTATACGACTAACATATCTCACTAAAACTAGAGTTAATAAAGCTGCTAGCATAAGACATCAAAACAACAAAATAGTGTTGTTTAAAGGTCAATAAATATTTTTTTAAATAATAAAATTTTTTTTGTAGTGTCTTATTAAGAATGGGACACAGAAAAACTGAAGAGTTACCTATAATTTTACCAAATTTGGCAAAAGTTTTTGGTGTACGTTACACTTATTTGAACTATAATTATATATTTTTTGATGTTTTTTAAGTAAATCATATAGGTACTTTTGTTGGGAACTTATAAGAAACTTCAAAATTAAAATGAAGAATATTCACATTCTAAGCATAGTCTTATTTTTAATCAGACTCTTCAGTTGTTCTGTATCCCTTTCTCAATGAGAACAATTTTATATTTTCCAAGTATGTACAATACAGGTGTATCAGAAATTAAAGCAAAAAGACAACTTATAACAAAGATTTAAATTTAGTAATGTCAAGTCATCCTTGCACCCTAAAAAAGTACCAATGAAGAAATTATTCCTCCAATGCAACCAAATGGTTATTTTTAGGATAAGATTTTGTGTCAAATGTTATCCACAGCCACAGGTCTCTTTTTAAATGGCATGACATTCAAAATTTTGGTCAAAACAATTTTCATCATGCACTTTTCTTGGAAATTCACAATGCTTTATTAGGATTAAAAACACCAGTTTCTAGAAACTTTTTTACTATAACACTAACATTACTGATCAGAAAAAGTGGTTAAAGTTTTCTTTTTCTAATCACAAATCGCAACTGAATGCCTATTTTTAAAATAAATTATCTCTATAATTCCATTTGTATATTTATTTTTTATTTATTTATTTATTTATACGGAAACTCCATTTTTACAATTTTAGTAGAATAACAAAATATATCAAAATTTCATAAGTGATACTAACACAACAATATCACATTTATACCAAAATAACCTAATTTAATTTAGTTACATAATTTTGGAAATATGTTTTTTAAACTGATGAGATCTGAACTTAAAAGGATCGATATTATGTTCATTGTATAATCTACACATACGGGTGAGAGGGTTGTGCATGGCGTAGTTTGTGCTATTGGTGGGAATGTAAAAAAGATCATTATTTCTAGTTCGACGCGTGGTCGAAAAGTTAATTAAATTTAGCAAACAATCACAGTTAATACTTCCCATCAATAATTTGTATAAAAAGCATATGGAATACTGCGCTCTCCTGGACTCCAATGTAGAAATCGCAAGGCGATTTAGTACAGGCTCATAATCAATATAATATGGATTTTGTGCATCGGTATGGACATTAATATTAAAACGCCAGGCAACAACATGCAAGAATTTATTTTGAACTCCCTCCAGAGCAGATACATGCACCTGATGATAGGGTGACCATACCACAGATGCATACTCCAATAGAGATCTGACAAGGGAGCAATACAGCAATTTAAAGGCGTTTATAGACAGGTCAACGCTGTTTCGTGTTACAAGGCCAAGCATTCGTGCAGCGCTGTTAACTACCATGCCAAAGTGTTCTCGAAAGTTAAGATTGGAGTCTTGAATCACGCCGAGATCCTTAATTGAACCCTTAACAGTTAGCGCTCGGTCATTTAAGACATATATATTTGTTATGGGCACTGTTCTTCGTGAAAAAGTTATAGAGAAACACTTATCAATGTTCAACTGTAAACCATTGTCTCGGCACCAAGCACTAAGTCCATCTAGATCACTTTGTATTAACATGCAGTCGGATGGTTCCGAAACCTCTTTAAATAATTTTAGATCGTCCGCAAACAATAAAAATTCTGAATTAACAATCGCATTACCAATATCATTTATAAATAAGATAAACAGTATGGGGGCACAGTGAGAGCCTTGCGGCACCCCCGATGCCACCTTTATTTCAGCCAACAAAACATTGTTAACACGGACAAACTGAAAACGATCCTTTAAGAAACTTGCGAACCATGCGACCAAGATCTCACCCAAACCCAGCGCTTTTAGCTTAGCAACCAAAATTCTATGGCTAACCTTGTCAAACGCCTTGGAAAAGTCAGTATAAATACTGTCAACCTGAAGTCGCTTCTCCAAGGCGTTCAACAAGTAATTTTCATAAACCAACAAATTGGTCGTTGTTGATCTACCCTGAGCAAACCCATGCTGTTCAGGTATAATAAAGTGTTTGCAAGCAGCAGCAAGAACATTGTATGCTGTGCATCTGTGAGATTGTTGTTTATTATACATAGGTACCAATTATAGAAATCTTTAGTAAGTACTTGCTTGCAATTTTAGTAAAATATGTACCTACCCTATATAATTAATTATTTCAAACATAAATAAAACCAACAACTATTATCTGAGTCTTTTTAGTTCTGATTGGTTTTGACAGAGTAGTTTTGATCATGGTTTTCTTCCATCTACCTTTAACCGTAAAGTCATACCTAGCTGAATTTTTGGTCTTTTTTAACTTTTGACTGTAGCGGGTCATATTTTTAATGTATGTCATCTGCAGCAGAAAGACCTACATGTTTTACATTTAAAAGTAATTAATTGTCCTTTCTACAAACTCGGCTGTATTTTTACTGAAATATATTTATTCACAATTCACGTAGTGGTTTGGTTTTTGGTTTGGTAATTTGATGTCAATTCTCCTCATTGTCAGATTTTGACATTGGCAGCTTTGATCAAGACAAGAGAGTCCTCGAACGAAAAATCGTAGTTCGGGTTTTAGTTTTAAAGCACAAAGAGATTAACAAATCTGATGCACAGTGTTATTCGAACGTTGATTTTCGATCACACAGGTCATATATCGGACGGTTTCGGCGAAGACAGAACAATATGATAATATTAATCTCTTTTATGGTCTTGGCATTGGCTTGGTCGGAAAACGGTTAATAAATAATAGTAAATAGTGTAGAAGTCATAATTGCGTAATGTCATCAAATTAATTTCGAATCGATCATGTTGAAACAAATCTTAGGTAAGTAAGTCATTTAAAAGTTGTAATTCTGCATACGGACTTTAATTATATTTGAATACGACCCTGCTTAGTCAACCATTTAAGCCACGCCCAGTGGGGGTCATTTTTAATAAAACGTATCATATGCAAAACAATTGCCTCATGGCATCTCCATTAGTATTATACCTCCATGGGTTAAACTTACTAATGTAATAATTGCTGTATTTCGACTAGAGCATGTACCTAGCATCTGGAAAATCGAAGACATTAAAAAAACGTTGCACAAAATCTGATATTACGGGCTAGTCTAATAAGTATTTTGTATTGCTGATTGATCCCAATTATTGGTAATTAACTAATTACCTAGCAGGGTTACCAGGTTTTTGAAAGAGATGACGGACAGACAGGGGATTTTAGGGGAAATAGTGGGAAGTAAAAACAACTCAGTCTATTTTTACTCTTTTAATCAAAATTACTTATTATGCAAGAAATCCATACCTAATTTTGGTAAAGATACACTGAGGTGATTTAACAAATAATAAGGAGAAAATGTAAGGTTAGAAAATCGAGAAATGGCAAATCGAAATCCAACATTTTCACCTTATTGTTTGAAACATCTCAGTCTATCTTTACCAAAAAATAGGTACGGATTTTTTACAAAATAAGTAATTTTGATTAAAAAAATGAAAATAGACAAGAGTTGTTTTTACTTCCCCCTATTTCCCCTAAAATTCCCTGTCTGTCCGTCATCACTTTCAAAAATCTGGTAACCCTGTTACCTAGTATTAAAAAAATAAAATATCAAATTCTTGAATTGTCCATGATTTTTTTGTCCCAATATATAGCTCATATTCCCATTTAAAAAGAATATCTGAAAATTATACTAATTTGATAATACTAATAATTATGAATGATGTAAAAGGTTTATTAAATAGTCAAATTTTATTCTAAATTTAAACTTTTCGCAATTATTTTTAGGGAGGATATTGAAAAAGGAGAACTTGGTAGTAAACCTAACAATGAGATTCTTTACCAACTAAAGCCAACTTATTGGTTTTCAGCCCATTTACATTGCAAATTTGCTGCCCTAATTCAACATACAGATAATTCTGTGACTAAATTTTTAGGATTAGATAAATGCCTTCCAAAGAGAAGATTCTTGCAAGTCTTAGATATACCTCACAATAAAGAATCAAAAATAGAGATAAATTATGACATTGAATGGTTGACAATATTGTATTTAACAAATCATTTGTTATCTGTTCGGAACACTTTGACTTACATGCCTGGACCTGGCATTAATGAAAGGTATATATTGTTTCATTTTTCTCCTATTTTTATTTTAATCTATAATATCAGATTTAATTTTATATACACATTATATACATATTTTAAGTTGTATTTAGTATTGAAAAAACTTTTATATAGATGATGACTAACTACAGTAAAGTTATAATTTGATCTTTTTTTCCCTTTTAGATGTCATATTTAAATTCTATCATCTTATTTTAATTTTTAAAATATATTTAATTGGAAAGCTTAACAAAGCACTATTTTTATAGGTATGATTTCACTCCAACTGAAGAAGAGAAAAGCCACGTCATAGCGAGGTTCAACGGCAATCTGGTAGTTCCAAAAACTTGTTACCTGACAGCCTCCGTTTACAATCCGAACTCTTCTTCAAAAAAACCCAAACAACCAGAACCTGTTCTTAACCCACAAACTGTAACTTTTTGTGAACTGCTAGCTGTTGACGATCCAATAACACAAGTGTGCAAAAACGAAGGCGTCGAATTGAATGTGAGTGCGGATTTGAATTCCACAATTAGTTTTATAGATGATACTTTGGATAGTGCCAATTGTTCAATTAATTCATCTCAGAATAGTACTCCTATGAAAAAGTTAAGTAGTTTTAACCTGCCTGATCCAAAACTTGACGAAAGTGATAGTAGTGAGGATATAGAAAGTAAGGATATTCCCGCTGAAGAAAGTGAAGATGTAGATCCTTTAATTAAAATAGATGATAATAAAGCTATTATAGTAGTGCAAAGTGAAACTGATAAAAATCGTAATTCGCCTACACCAAAAAAATTTAAAAGAAGAAACGAAGGATTTTATACTACTGATGATAAAGATAAATAATTTAGTTAGTGTTAAAGAAATGTAATTGAAATAAATAAAAAGTAATAAATATTTTTTCTACACCCACATCTATATTATCTACTCTCTGCACAAACGACAGAATGAATATGTACGCCATTAGAATGTATATGAAAATGCACTAATCACATTTCATATATTTAGCACCTAGGTGAAATATAATAATAAAATCTGATGTGTAGAACTCATGATTTTTCTGTCTCGTTATTACAGGCTTTTTCCGGTTATTTTGTACAACCTATTGCAGCACCCCGGTAATTATGTATTGCCAATAAAAATACTGAAAAATTAAAATTTTATATTTAACCTCAAATTTTTCGATTACGGTCCATTTTAGAGAAATATATAGCAACTTTTATTTGAAGAATTTTCTTCTTCAATTTTGAATAAGATATTCCATAAAGTAGAAACTGACCTTCTATAAACTACCCTCCAGATGTTCCGATTATGCCTAAAATTTAATAATTCTACCGCAGGATTGATTAAAGCTTAAATTTAAAATTTGGTGTCATTCTCTTATTCCTGTTTGAGTTTTCAAAATTTGTATTTTTTCTTAAATACCTGGAATATGGTCAAATTATGTATGGTGTTATTAGATCTTTTGGTACTTACAAAATTCCAAAAGGCTTTAACATTAATTTTAACAGAAGTTTCAACAGAATGTATGTAATTTGAATATAGCATTCTCTAGATCAGCGATACTCAAAGTGTGATCCGCGGAGCCCTCGTGCTCCGCAAAGCCTTTGTGGGGGCTCCGCAAAGAAAATAACAAAAAGCCGTACCTGTCGCTATAACGGGACTTGGTTTTTTTTTAGAGAGAGTATGCGGGGTAAGCCAGGTTTCGGTATTTGGTTGGAGGACCTTTAGAAGTCAGGAAGAGGAAGGCGTATATGATTTTGAGATTTTTTGTTTGTAGGGGCTCCGCAAAGAAACGGGTGGGACCTAGCAAGGAGGACTTTTCCGAAATGTGTTTAGGGCTCCGTTAAATATTTCACTTTTCAAAAAGGTTCCGTCACCAAAAAACTTCCACCGGGGACAAAACAAGGTCGAGAATAACTCCTCTTTGGTTGAGCACTTTGTTGAACTGGAAAAAATTGTAAAATGCGCATATGTCTGAGACGATTTCGATAGTGATGAACTGGGATGAGCTGAAGCTGAAATCTTCAATATCCCAGGCAGCAGACTGCCGACATTTTTTGGTAATTCTTGATCATCGACGTCATGTTACCAAAAAATAACGTGATTATGACGTCTCTTTTTTAACGTCATAATTTGACGTCAATTAATCGTCACTATTAAATTAAAATATATATTAAACGTGATTTTGATATTTATTTGTGGCATAAACAAGTATTTTTTAATACTTTTAGGTATGTTAACGTTTAAATCTGGCTCTTAAAATGCTTAAAGAATTTATGACACCACGTGACTGCGTCTATCTGATCATTGGTCTGTGGAGTATGGCTCGTGTGCGTTCGAGCAAGCACGAAAACGGTATTGCGGATTGCTGCTTCGGCCAGTGTAACGGTATGGTGTGTGCCATGTGTGTGCATCGTGGATCGTGGCCCGAGAATAACGATCAAGGAGAAGCGACAGCTTGGTGTTTTTAGTGTACCGTTTTGTAACGCGCATGTGCGAAAATAAGTTGTGTATCACTCAAAATTATGTTATCTGTCAAAGTCAGTCCAAGTTGTGTTTAGTACATGAGCAATGTTAAGTGATATTTTTTGGTGTTTGTTTTGTGTAGTAATAAAATGAAGATTTTTACACACTTAGGTATTCTAATGCAGATGTAAAATGTGCCAAAAAAGTTACTAGGAAACTAAGAATTTTATCACATGCATAAATATTAAGTATAATGATTTAATCATTTCTGATATTTTATTTTTCATATGTAGATATTGTATTTTGTGAAATATATGTTTTCTTCTTTTAAATAAATTTAATAAACAATGAACTGGAGATTTTGTTTATTTTATTTTGAAATTATATTTAAAAAAATATAATAAATCGCGTGTTTCAATTAGGATTGGTCAAAATGGGCGAAATCCCTTTATTATGGCTAAATTGTAAGGTACAATTATGTCAATATAAAGATGTTTTGCCCATTCATATTTTCATTTATTGAATGAATCATACTGGAGTTGATTTTGGAAATATTGGTGCATACTTAAATAAGTACTATTTCAAAAAATTCGTCTATGCCCAGACAGCACACATAGTCCAATGTACGTCCACTTTAGATCTATTTGAGGGTCAGGACGTCCATATCCGGGCATCCAATGTACGTCCGTTTATGCTAATTAAATTGACAGCTGAATATTGATACCCAGAGAACGTCTGTTTTTGGACTTAATTTTAAATTTAGTAGTATTTTGACTTTCAGTGGACGTCCATCTTAGGTCATTATTTATTAAGCCTACAAGATAATACTCATCTATAATATATACTTCTTTTTTTAATATAACTGGTCATTAAAAATTGACAAATTGAATCTATTGCATTTCATTCTATCAGCAGAAGTTTGAAATCTTATTCAATTAAAACTGTATCTAGTAAAAAGTTTTCAAGTGGTTCCTTGGTCGAGCTCGTCTAGCGATTGAAAGGGTAAAACGATAATGGATGTGTCGTGAGTTCGATGCCTGCTCAGGTCAAGCGATTTTTAATAAAAAACAAAATAAATGGTGTATAGCGGTTTGCGAAAATAATAAACAAATTATTAATAATATAAAATAGTGTGTGGTAAGTTGCGGTTCTGTAAAAAAGTGGGGATGTGGTCTCAATGGAAATATAATCCTGGACGTTTTTTGAATGTTCAGTATTCGACGTCCAAATATATTCCAGAATTGAACGTCCTCTGAATGGTCAAAAGTGTGCCATTTGTATACTTCACTGGACGTCTATTGGATGTCGGAAGTCCAGAAAAAACTCATTCTTGGACGTCTAGACATCCAAAATTGTATATCGAATGGACGTCCAAATGACATATTTGTATTGTCTGGGTGATAGCCAGGCCAGGTATTTAACTCTAAATACATAAACCTTAAATGACATCTGGCTTAACGTGGCGAGAAAACACTTGTTTATACAGAAATCAGTGATAAACTTGAAAGTCCTTTTAATATAATATAAATCCAGAAATTCTAAAAATATGTAAGTACTTTTTAAACCTAAAAGTTTTTGAAAATATAAGCACAAATATTTAGTTAAATATCTCAAACTTAATGTCTTTTTAATTGTTCCCTAAATTTTTTTTGGCACCCTTAATTTTATATACCTTATTTTTACTTAAGGAAAAGGTAATTTAATTTAAATATGGGGCTTTTATTACATTTTTAACAATAAATAAACCAAATATTGAACAAATTTTATAGATAAATTATAAAATAATAAACGTCTTTTACTTTTATAATAAATAATTAATTATTACATAATTAATTATATTTTGGTGCCGAAATTTCACCATTTCTATTAACCCTAACTACTTCAATGTAATTAAATCACATTACAACATTTGCGCATGGACTATAACAATGATTTCAGATAATTTGCCAAACTATTTCGCTCAGTGTAGAAAACAAGCATGTTTTCTCAGCGTGCTAAGTTGTGTATCAATCAAAGTCATGCTGTGAAAAAGGTACATCCGATATCAAAGGCACCGACAGCTACTGTCGCTTCTCCTTGATCGTTATTCTCAGTCGTGGCCGTCGTTAAAAGTTAAAATAGTTATATCAATATCAACCCAGTATTAAGGTATATACCTTTTAGTATTTATTTATCTATAATTTCCCTATTCTTTTATGATTTTGTTATCTATTACATTCATAGATTATTTCCTAAAATGTTCCCAGGTTCGTGAAATAGTAAAAATGGCGGCACTCATAGAAATATCATTAGAAATTAATTGTGTCTGTAGTCTTCATAATTGTGCCAAAACCAAAATAATAACGTACAAGTTGACCACATTTGGAGCAGTTGGATTTATATAAATTAATGTTTCTTGCCGATAATGTATTTAAACTGTTTTTTTCTTTTCAATTATAATTATTTCATTTTATAATTTTGTTTTATTAACTGACCCACAATCCGTACAGAAAAGTTACAAAGGAGTAACAATATCAAATATAACGTCATGGTGATGTTCAAATAACAACATTAAAAGAACGTTAATAAAACGTCATAAGGACGTTATAAAAACTACTAAGAAACGTGATAAAGACGTCATATTTAGACGTCTAAATATGACGTCATTTGGGCTCTGACATATTCACGTCATTTTACCGTCATCATCACGTTAGTTTTCAGAGGATAAATGACGTCGGGTATGACGAAAATAAGATGTCATAATGACGTCAGTCTGCTGCCTGGGATGTTGCTGTAGGTGGGTCTAGGACATTTCAGGGCCGCCGATTCAGTGCCGAGACGTTTCAGTGCCAGGACACTTCAGTGCCGGGACGTTTCAGTGCCAAGACGTTTCAGTGCCATAAAGATTGCTTTTTATTAAATAATCATTTGTAAGAGTGGATGATTTAGACGAATACCTGGAACCACTTAGTGAAGAGTTACCTGGAGAATTGCATCCTCTACTAAACTGGTTTGAGGATAACTATGTAGGACGCATGAATAGGCGTGGAAATGGGAGAAGAGAACCTCTGTTTCCACCAGAAATGTGGAATTTATATGAAAGAACTCTTGATGAAGATGATCGAACCAATAACCGTTCCGAAGCTGCCAATCGAAGATTGAAATCGGAACTGGGAATGGAACATCCAACAATTTGGAAATTTATAGATGGTTTACGCAAAGTTCAAAAGGGGCGAGATACTTATTATGAACAATTAGTTGCTGGGAATCAGCCTCCATTGAAGTTAAAGAAGTATAGAGATGCCGATGAACGAATTTTAAGAATTGTCACGGAGTGTGGGAATAGAACTCCGATTGAATATTTGAGAGGTATCGCCCACAACTACCAAATGACTGAATAAAATCTAAATTTGTTAT